AGCTTACGCTTACAGCAAGAAAAATTATAGGTATGGAAACTCCAGCAACTGCTCTAATGTAGAATGGGATTGATCCTTGTATCTATTCAGTAGCACCATTAAGCTTAGTGATAAAATGTTAATCTGTATCTTCTGCTGGTGAGACTGAAGGCCACGGTGTTCTTGCTTGAGGGAAGAAGGGATTAAAAAAAGCACTCCAATATCCTGGCTTGCAGAAAAACTGTCAAATCATTTCCAAAACATTAATTCCAACTCCAGGGCATGTGTTGAGATGCCTCAGCTTGAAAGTATCTTGACAGCTTTACTTAAGCAACTTACAGTATCTCTTTTTAGATTTTTGCTTCAGTGTTTTTTTCTTTTCTTCTTCTTTTTTCTTTTTACCCAAATAGTGGAAACTGCTTGGTCAGAAATGTCCCTTGATCTGGTAACAAATGAAATAATTCCCTTCAGGGTATTATTTCATTTGCTTCTAAGTTAATCACCTTTCGTCATGAATTCTCATTACCTGGTCCTACAGTATGAACCAAAACTCAGACAGGGCCAGAAATTGAAGCACCTGACATGAAAGCTAACTATACATCTTGCTTTGTATGGGCAGTTCAGGCTGCTGCTGGTGATATATTTTCTTTACATACTCTGGGGCCCTTTCAAACAATAGAGTATTGTTGAAAGCCAGTGGGCCAAGCTGTATGTTGCTGACCATGTCCATCCCTTTATCAACACGGTGTAAAAGCATCTTCTGATGGCCGAAACCTGTTACAAAGCTCAAATGAATTCCAGGGAGTTCACTCTATTTCATTGAAGCTTGTACAGTACGTTTTTGATGTAATGAAATCAGTGTTTTTTATTATATGTAACAATATGTGCCACGGATAAATGAAATGACCTATAATGGGCATTATAGATTGAAAGTTAACACGTCTGCGCAAGAACAGAAACTTCTAGAGCAATAGCGGTTTTTGTTGCCACATCTCATTGGACCAAAGAAGCCTGTAGATACTAGGTGGCATGAAAAGTATTCATGAAACATTATGTACAGGAACAACTCAGAGACATACACAGGTATGTGGTATTACAGGCTAACAAAGAAACCAAACGAACACCATTCCTAAGGGGCGAACCCTGCTTTCTAAGCCAAAACTAGGCTTTGTTTTTGGTCCACTCTATAAAGCCTCAAACTCAACGCTATTTCTGACATTTGGAATTGAAAAAGCTTCCTGGATGGGAAGCGAAACGTCTTCAAACTTGGAAACAAAGTCCAGTGGATTGTTTTTTTTAACTTTTTTGGAATGACTATGACCTGGATGACTGAGAATCTTCACCAGCACAGGAACAACTGAGCTCTGTACAGACTGCTTAAAGGCTGTATGGTTGAATAAATGTGTTCTCGGTTTGTCACACCACAGAAATCTGTTCTATTAATCATTCATCCGAATTTGAATAAGTGATTACGTGTCCAATAGCAACGCTAAAACCATGTCTACAGTAGACTAAATATTATATTTACATTCTGATATTTATCATAGGGGATTGGTGGAAGCTTTGAGCATGTGTGACTCAAATTAAATGGGGAAAAATATGAGTTGCTCTTCTGTGTCTGCAGACATAGGCTGCAGGCGGTGCGTCTGAATCCCTTTGTTTCAGAGCGATCAGTGCATGTGTACTGATGTGTACTGACATCATCAAAGTCTCCAACAAGACATGAAAAAAACAGCTTATTTGTCGCTAATCGCTTAAAAAAAAAAGACGCTAGAGGGATCTAAAAAGATGCTAGCTATAGGCTCTGAATTGGCGACAACGCAAAAGTGGTCTTTCTATTTGCATTTAAAAAAATATTTCTATTTGCTTGGGTACTGGGGGGCGGATCTATTCTGAAGGCAGCTGCATGACAACACAAGGCTGCACTCTTAGACATACTCATAAAACGCTGTAACCCAGGAAATTTTAATCCCACATTTAATTCTGGTGCCACAGTGCAATCATGGAGACCTTTTTTCCACACGCAGAACAAAACATTTAACATTTATGTGTTAGAAGAAAATTGGGGAATTCTCTTTACACAGTCTTTAAGTTTGAGATGCCTTCTGTTATGGTTGATAAGTCCTAATGGCTTCCACCCAGAGCTTGGTTGTAGTAGACAGGCAGAGAGAAGGGATGGATGCTCCCTTCAGAATGAGTAAATGCCTAAAGGAAGGTGTATTATGAAATTTAGGCAGGATCGGGATGAGTCGGTAATAAAGATGCACACACAGAACACACACACTGTGTCTGCTAGAGTAAAATGTGTCGTTTTATTCCGCCACAGAACACAGCAAAGCAAGCACATCAATCAAGGCACGGTGCTGAATACAAATTATATTGTCTCAATACAATTTATATTGTCCCCCTACCGTGACACAAGGATTGGAGGGCCAGTCGATCCCGGCAGGGCAGCAACCCGCGCCGCTAGGCGTCCGTACGCAACCCTAGCAGACCCTGCAGGCGCCAAACGCCATCCGTCATTTATGCCAAACTTCAAAGGAAAATCTTTCACCCAATCAGGAAAACTGATCGCTCCCTCTCACGCCTGGAGCGCATGATTACAGAAACCAAAAAATGGAACGGGCACCCCTCGAACCCACCCAGGGCTCGTGGACAGCCGAAACCAAAAACATTATTACATCATGGTCAGAGCATGGCACAGAGGGCTCGTGAGTACCAAAACAAGTTATATCATGCTCTCAAGGAAACAGAAACTTAGATAATGAGAGTGCCTAGGTAATAAGAGTGCTTCATTTGTGATACAAACTTGTATGATTGTCAAAGAACATAAAATATAAAACCCATATATATCAGAAGGAAAGAGACAACCAATGTTGGTTGAGGAAGGAAATAGTAGATGGTGGACCTGTAATTGACAAAAATTATAATAAAAAAGAAACATTTAATTAAAATGAACGAAATAAAAGTCATATATTGCTTTTTAACAACGCTTCAACAAAATTATAAAAAAAAAAAAACAATTGAAACAGGTCTGGACAGAAATGATGGTACCCTAATCTTGATATTTTGTTGCATAACCCTTTAAGGCAGTCAGGTATTTTGGTCCATTATAATTTGAGCAAACTGCGCCAATTGTCTCAGGTTTGAAGGATGCCATTTCCACACGTCATGTTTCAGCTTTTTACAAAGAAACTCAATAAGATTTAGGTCAGGGCTCATTGAAGGCCACTTCAGAATAATCCAATGTTTCTCGCTTAGCAATTATTGGGTGTTTTTAGCCGTCTTTAAGGTTTTTATCCTGTTGTGAGACCTATGACATGCAACTGAGACCAAGCTTTCTGACATTGAGCATCACATTTCTCTCTAAATTCCCTTGATAGTCTTGAGTTTTCATACTCAAGACTATTGTTTTCGTAACTTGCAGGGAATCAGATAAGGCAAAGCTGTCCCAAAACATAACAGCCTCCACCTGGTTTCAAAGAAGGGTCAGTGGTCTTTACTTGATATGCTTCATTTTTCACTCTGGATACATATTGTCTAGGTATAAAAAAAAATGCCTTGTCTATCTGTAGGACATTCTCCCAGAAACTCTGTGGCTTGTTACATGTAGCTTAGCAGATTCATCTGGCTTTTTTATTAATTTCTTCAAACAATGGTGTCCGCCGTGGTTGTCTCCTATCAAGTCCACTTTCGCATAAAAAACTACAGATGGTGCTATCCGACACTGATGTTTCTTTAGCTTAAAGTTCACCTTTTATTTCTTTAGAGTCTGGGCTCTTTTGACACCATTCATATCATCCTTCTGCTTATTTTCGTATTTTCTTTCCAAAGCCACATCCAGGTAGCCTCGTGAGACCACCCTGATCTCGCGAGCTTTCAAGGTTTCACTCGCTAATCAGTCTGGAGACTCTCCGTTAAAGAAAATTTGGAGCCGTTCACCAAACAAACGTCCAATCAGCGTTTGCTTTGAGGCGGGTTGAGGTGTGACGCAACGAGAAGCGCGACAGTTCAGTCTAAAGAACATGGCAGCTCAGCCGATGAAACTAGCGTTAGCGTGGCTATCGAACAAGTTTTATCGGAATTACAGAGTATTCCTTCACTGAAAGAAGCAAACGGCAAATATCCTTTGCCGACATGTTGCTTATTTGCTAAGCTAACGAGCCTTTACCTGCAGCAGCAAGAGTAGCCTGGCTTTTGGTTGTGTTTTCGTCGTGGCTCTGTTAGTACGTCATATGCTTCGTTGATCTGATTGGTTTATTTGGCCCGTCTATCACCAACATAGGCCAATCAGCTAACCAGTATTTTCGCCCCTGCCCAAAATTACTTCAACGGAAGGTTTCCAGATGGATATGCGGAGCAAATCCATCTGGCGGAGTCAGGTTAACGTCCAGGGAGGTTGCATACAGTCCCAGGCATCTTAGATTTCTGAATCTGTCCAGTCACAGAAAAATGTAGCCGCTAATTTCTTGAGGCAACTCTTTTCTTTGCTTCCTCTGATCCATGTTAAGTGTGGTACACACCATTTTAACCAAACAGCAGGCCCATAGACTGATTATAAGATTATAGACACCTTTGATGCTAATAAGTGGACACCTTAATTTAACAGGTCCTTTTGGTCATGTTATTACCTTTCTTTTCTAGTTGTGCCATAATTTTTGTCCAGGTCTGTTTGAACTTTCATTGTATTAGAGCTTTTACTAATTATTGCTTTTATCAGATTAAATTATTTTACTTTTGTCAGATTTTTTGCAATTAAACTAGGGGTACCAACAGTTTTATCCATATGTGTATTTCTGGAGATTTTTCAGGTTGTTTTTTTCCCTTTAAACAAAACATAAAAAAAAACAAAAAAAAAATCCTGACCAGGAAGGGTTTTCCTCGTTTTCCTATAAAATGACTACCTCTGTGACTTTCAAATAGTTAACATCGTTATCTGACAGAATGTTTTTATCCGAGTAAAACTGTGCTTCTTTTAGCCTTCAGGTCTAGCTCACTCACTTTTCGTCCAATATTTCCAGGAATGAAATCCAACAGGTATTGAAGAGTTCCTACCTACGTGGACTCAACATGGCTTCTTTCTTCGCCAGTAGCAAGATCACAGTTTTTATCACCTTCACCGTCTACGCTCTGTTGGGGAACACCATCACAGCCAGAAGCGTGTTTGTCACCGTGTCTCTTTATGGTACCATTAAGCTCACAGTCACGCTCTTCTTCCCTCTGGCCATTGAAAAGTTGTCCGAGACTGTTGTGAGCATTCATAGGATTAAGGTAAATAGTAAAGAACTAAACAAAAAATTTTAAAGGCTGAGATCTCATTAAATAATTTCAGTATGGTTAAAGCAACCTTTTGTAACAAGATTTTTTGGAGTAATTAGAAGGTATATGGAGATCATACGGAAAAGGATTAGGGCCACTGGAAAAAACAAAAGTTAACTGATTTTTACATTTTATTTCAGAATTCTGAGAAAAAAGTAAAAATTCTGAGATTAAAGTCAGAATTCTGACTTTTTTCTCAGAATTCTGACTTTTTTCTCAGAATTCTGAGATTAAAGTCAGAATTCTGACTTTTTTCTCAGAATTCTGACTTTAATCTCAGAATTCTGACTTTTTTCCCAGAATTCTGACAGATAACAAACATGTTAGCATCAAGCCTTAGCCATGTCTGTTTTAGAGACTAGCTCTCTTGTTTTAATGACCTTCTGCTCCTCCATTAATGAGGGGACCCATTGGGCACATAAAAAGTTGCCTAATTCCGTCAATTTCCACCAATGTGTATGTGGCCCTCTCAAACAGCTCACATCTTTGTCAGTGAAGCTGAGTGCTTCCACATCTCTTCCTTTATGGTGCCTATCTACATTAAGATCCAAAATGTGAGATTAAAGTCAGAATTTTGAGAAAAAAGTCAGAATTCTGACTTTTTTCCCATATTAAACTGAAATAAAATTAAAAAATCAGTTAACTTTTTTTTTTTCCAGTGGGCCCTAATCCTCTTCCGTAAGATCAAGACGTATATGGAGTTGAATTTTTAAAAAGGAATGCAGTTTACATGTCAATATTTTAGACGCAATATCTACCAGGCAAATGGGCTACACTATATTCATGTTGACTTTAACAGTCTGACATTAGAAGAACATCTGCTTTGTCAAAATTGCATCTTTGATCTGGTAGCAATTCAAATGAAATATTTTGGGTCTTTCAAAAATCAATGGAGTTAACAACTGTTGGAAAACTTGTAAGGCTGCACAAGAGCAAGTGTTCTGGGTTTGGTTATTGCTAAAAAAGCTTCTGTGTTTATTAACTTCCTCCTAGAATTTCCTCATGTTAGAAGAAGTTGAGAGAAAAACCTTTGGACTGCACCTGGAGGAAATGAAGGAAAACTCTCTAGAGATTGAGAAGCTCACCTGCTACTGGGATAAGGTGAATGCTTCAGAACACAGGATGTATCCCATGAGGGTTTTGTGCATTTCATATTACGGATAAAGGCTGTTGTGGAGAAGAAGGTTGATCTTTTCTATCTATTGTTATTTTACCAGAGCGTGGACTCACCGTCTTTGCAGAACATTTCGGTCACAGTAAAATCAAATCAGCTTCTGGCTGTTGTTGGACCTGTGGGGGCTGGAAAGGTCGGTAAACCAGGTTGTTTCAGCTCTCAGCTGCACAAACCGTTCCTCTTTGAAACCCCTTATCTTGTTCATAACTTTTTTGCCACCAGTCATCTCTGTTGAGTGCCATCTTGGGAGAGCTGCCGCATGACACAGGCGTGTTGACCATCAAAGGTCCGCTGACGTATGCATCCCAACAGCCCTGGGTGTTCCCTGGGACCATCCGCAGCAACATCCTGTTTGGGAGACCGCTAAATCGTAAAAAGTATGACAGAGTCCTCAGAGCCTGTGCTCTGAAGAAGGTGAGATGTAGCTCCAACGCTCCACCAATACATCACTGTAGCTCAGGTGTTCCTGTCCTCCAGAGGAGACTTCAGGGAGGTTTAGAAGTTCACCTTTAGGTGGAACAGAATATACTTTGGAGCTCCAGCAAGATTATTCTAGTAATCTATTATGGATTGTTTTAAATTTCTTTTATTACGTTACATCTGGTAAATTGTTTCTAAATTAAGTTTGGAATTTAGAAACAAATCCTTCATTGTGCTTTTTAGAATTATTATAAATGCCAAGAACATGTAAAGTATACTTACATTTATGTGATTATATAAGATTTTTTTAATCTTAACTGGAAAATGTAGTTTTATCTTAATCACTGTTTTATGTAGGTTAGTCTTTCAGCAAATTGCATTATTTTCTAATCTGTCTACTACGAAGATAACCATTCAATTGTCTAATTAGCTAACTACCTAGGCTAACTAATTAGCCTTAGTGGGCTTTTCCATTTTTAAAAAGGCTTTCAATCCAATTTTTAATAAAATCATCAGGAAGGGATTATCTGCAGCCAAACTGCACATTTTCTGTGATTTTCTTTACTGCATTGGCTGTAATTTAGGAAAGTTTCTGATAAGCCTAAACTCCTTAGACAGGGATGATGTCTAAGAGTGGATAAAACAAAAATGTCATGCTTTTAAGCTGTTCCTCCAATTTCTCTCAAAATGTTTGTATTTTTAATCTTTAGACCTTATAAGACTGTCAACCTGCACATATTTCATGACTGCTGAGTAATAGGTTTTCCTTCAGAGAGCTAATTGATCATTTACCAAATGAGCTGAACGTTCCGCTTGATTTTTTTTACTGGTGAAATAAGGCTTGTCTTAATCTGTCTGTAAGGAAAGATACTGACTACACACTTGATGAGGCTAATTATATTTGCTGCATTTTCAACAATAATTTCAAAATATTAGAACATCATTAACATTTTGTGTCACTTATCTCAGAAAGTGAAACTTGTTTTATAAACTTTCAAGCTTTTATTTCTTATCCTTTACATCGGGGGTGTCAAACTGGTTCCAGAAAGGGCCGTGTGGCTGCAGGTTTTCTTTCCAACCAAGCTATGGCACACCAGACTCCATTCATCTCATCAAGTGAGTCCAGTCTTAACATGATGACTTGATGAGATGAATGGAGTCTGGTGTACCATAGCTTGGTTGGAAAGAAAACCTGCAGCCACATGGCCCTTTCTGGAACCAGTTTGACACCTGTGCTTTACATCGTGGTTTCACCCGCTCATCACTTCATAGCTCAACATACCGTCAAAGGTTTCGCTAGTCTTTGAGTGGTTTTCTGTTGGGGGGGGGTCAGTCAGGGACACAATCATGTTGGCCAGAAAACAGCTATTGTCACCCTTTACATGGAGGGTAAGCCACAAAAGGTAACCTCAAAAGAAAGCTGGTTCAGCACACTGTAGCAGAGCATGTTCATAGAAAGTTAAGTAGAAAGAAAGGGCGCACCAGCAACATGGATAATGGTAGCACTGTCAGAAAACCATTAAAAAATGTGGTGGAGCTTTATAAGAAATGGGCCTAGGCTAAAATCAGAACATTTAAAGCTTCTACCACAAAAAAAATGTTAATTATGGAAAAGAACTCCTTGGCTGCGTTGAGATGTTTCAAATGTTTGCTACTAGCTCTTGTTCTTACTTCCTATCCCTTCACCTTGTGCGAGGTCAACAGTAAGAATTCTATCCAGGGTAGGAAGGGAACTTTGGACTCCTCTGCTGAATCTAAACAGCCTTCAGCACTACGGACGTCATTACTTAACAAACACACACATTGATGATGCTAGTGAACTTGGGACTACTGCCAAATGGAAACTACAAAAAAAATAAAAGTTGCATAAATTTAGCGAACAGCTAAAGTTCTCCATTATAAAATCTGAAGATATGCACATTAGCATGTGTCACACAGAGTTAAACGCGTGAAATAATATGCTTTTATTAAATTCCATAAGGTGGGCTGTGCCTATGAATGCGGTCATGCAAAGGATTTAGGGAAACCGTATAACTCCAAAAAGACCATTAGGAGTTCCCCAACCTAAATGAACTATTAATAAGAAGCATTCAACTACTTCTCCCTGCCCTCTTTATTACTATCAGCACTTTGGACAACACTAATTCAAATAAATTGCCATTCAAGAATATTAATCCCAAACCTAAATTATCATAGAGTTGTTATAGGTGTTTATACTTGTACGCTGGTAGGATCTTCTGTAATGGTCTTTCTTTCACCAGCTCTGGAGAGGGCTCTGACTGAAGACACTGTTGTTGTTTAAAAATCTTCTGAGGGGGATGTTCACTGTTGTCCTTAATTTTCTTCACTTTATGAAGAATTCTCCTTGGTGAAATAATCTCCAGAGCTTCTAAAGTAGTTCCTAGAACAGAACCAACCTTTATTATTAGCTTGTAAAGCTTTTTTATATCGTGTTTTTTTTAATGCTACACAGCAGATGATGGCAGAAGAGATCACACCTTAGTTAAAAGATTTATGGAGCATTTGTAGCATCTTGCTGAAAACGCCAGAGGACCTAACTAAGCGTTCTTAAAAAGTACAGTCTGCTCTTCCCTTCTTGTGTATGGCTTCACAATAGTGTCTTCAGTCTTGTTTGTTGTCCTGGTCAACACCAAGGAATTTATACTCATCAAACACCTCAACTACTTCTCCCATGATGTGAACAGGATTCAACTTGTTCCCGTTTCTTCTGAAATCTACAATCATCTCCCTTGTTTTGTTAAAATACAGGATCAAATGATTGGTACCACGCCCTTTCACAAAGTGGTTCACTAGCTCTTTGTACTCAGCTTCTCGTCGATTTTTGATGCACCCAATGGCGACGGAGTCATTGAGTATTTCTGCAGATGATCAGACTGTCTTCCACTAGAAGTCAGAGGTGTACAGAGTAAAAAGAAATAGTAACAGTAATGTCCCCTGTGGTGCTCCTGTGCGGCTGACTACTAGATTAGACAGCTGACCCCTTCAGTCTAACAAACTGCCTTCTGTTTGTCAGGTAGTCTTTGATCCAGGCATGTTGATTCCTTCATGTCAGTCTTTTGGAGTTTCTCACAAAGTAAGTCAGACTGAATCGTTTTAAATGCACTGGGAAAAAAAAAACAAAGAACAATATCCTCACAGTGATTTCCGTCTCGTCTAAATGACAGTGGGTTTGTTGAAGCAGGTGTATGATGGCATCATCAACTTCTGATTGCTGCTTGTTTGTTGAGGGGAACCAACAGAAGTCTCTATAGGACCTAGGGCTGGGCGATAATTCAATAACGATATATATCGATCGATAGACGTGTGGCGCAATAGAAAAAAAGAGGGTCGATAAAAGTTCGATAAAAAAGAAACGCAGTTTTCCTTCCTTCTCATTGTAGCCTAGCATGTAGGTTTATGCTAGTCACTGCTTCCTCCCAACCAATCACAATCGCGGACCCAGGCATGTCGTCACCAAGCACCGCCCTCTCAAACCACAACACAGAGCACATGAAGATGTTGCAGCAAGGAGAGGCGGAGGAAATTGTTTCAAAGAAGGGTTTTTGTAGTTCGCCAGTTTGGCAGTATTTCGGTTATGGCAAGTCGGACCAAAAACAAACCACAGTCATCTGTAAAATGTGTCGGGATCCAGTGAAAACGAAGTCTGATAACACAACCAACTTTTTTTTTTTTTTATCATCTCAGCCGCTCACACCCGCAGGAGTACGAGCTGTGTAGGCCCCGGTGCGGCTCTCCTCCGAGGAATCTTCGGGTATTTCGGGAAAATATATATATATTTTCAGTTCTGGGCTGTTTCCCACGTAGTTCTAACAATTGAGATAAAAATGCTGAGGGGCCAGAAACTTCAAAGTAATAACTCAGGTTAAAGCAGGAAACGGGGGCGGCGGTGGGGGGGGCATTTATTTATTTGTTATATTTATTTTGGTCACTTTTCTGGTCACTTTAGTTTATTCTTTGTCAGTATTTAATAACATAACTCAGGTCTCTTAAGTTATTTTTCTTTAAAACAATTCTGTTATGGTTAAAAAAGTTGGTTAAATAAAGATTTAATTCGAAGTCTGTGTTTGTGTTTTTTATTAAAATTAAATCATTTAGCAATATTATAAAAAGTCCAGGCAGAGCTGCACATAAAATATGGTTTCAAATCTTTTCAATAATTATCGATATCGATCAATATGCATTTTTTTTTATCGATAAGCTTTTTTTCTATATCGCCCAGCCCTAATAGGACCTATTTGATGTGGGATGCCTGGGCAACAGGTCTATAGTCACTGAGGACTGTTGGCTGAGTTGTCTTTGGTACTGGAAGAAGGAAGTCTTCCACATCACAGTAACATTTTTATGGGCCAGGCTAAGGTTGAAGAGGTGCTATAGAATCCATGAGAGATGTTCTGAACTGGGCTTTAGGACTCTGGGACACCATCGGTGACTTCAGTCTCTCCAGTTCCCTCTTCATTTGACTTATAGACACAGATCAAATGTTTAGGGAGCAGCACCATTTTCCGAGTTGGCGGAGAATACAATTGTAGAAGCAGGTGTGTCAATGACCTTAAGTTGCTTCTGTGTACTCCTGAATAATTCCCTCTCTATTTTCTTAAATGCTTATTTTTTCTTGTTAAGCAGTACCTTCAAATCACTTGTGATTCATGGTTTATAAGTTGGTAAGCATTTCACTGTCCTGGTTGGGATGGTGTTATCTACACAGAAGTTTATCTAGTTGGTAACACAATCAGTCATTGCACTAATGTCCGATCGATGTGGCTGACACAGTGTATCCCAGTCTGTAGCTTCAAAACAACCTTGCAGGCTTCTTCAGCTTCATTTGACAACCTTCTGACAGTTCTTTTTTATCCAGATTGTCTCTTGTACTTTAAGCAAAGAAAAACAAGATTTTTATCTGATTTCCCAAGAGGATTCCAAAGTTTTCTTTCTCTGAGGAAGGGATTGCATCAGACATAGTGCCTGCAATGGCAGAGCCTGGAATGTAAACAGTTACCAACAGAACACTGGTAAACTCTTTGGACAAATATGGCTGAAAAGCCATTGCCAAAATGTCAATATCTGGGCTGTAGCGACAAATCTTCATAATAACATGCCCTGGATGACACCATCCTTGATATCTGTAGGTGAAACTGTCTTTTGTGTCAATTCGGTTTTTAAAATAGAATCATTTTTAATTTTTGTAGACAATATCACCATCCCAACAGACTTAAGTTCTGCGCTTGTTTTAGAATATAAAGTTATTGCATAACATAACATGTAATTTCTGTGCTGACATTAACTTTAACAGTGGGCATATTTACCTTATTAAGTGGGTGGAATGATTGTTTGACATTTAGTAAATCACCAGCCTCTCAGACCCTTCAGCTTGGACCTGTTGTTACCCTTGGCAACCCCATGGTATTTCCTTTCAAGGTTTATTGTCGGTATTTACCAATAAAAGCACAGGTGAAACTTAACTTCACGGAACACTTAATAAATTGCTGAGTACCATATATTTTTTGGAAAAGCCCCTGGAAGCAATGAAAAAAAAAAAAAGTTACATTTGGTTCATCCAGAGCTGTCCCTGGATGACAGTCAGTGGCTTTAAAAAAAAAAAAAGCCATTTTAATTTAGCCATAGAGGCACTGTTCGTTGTCCTCCCTTACCTCCAGCACAGACCCTGGTTTGTTGCTCCCCAGTACAAGGAAGTACTGCCGAAAGCTTAAAATCTCCTTATTTCTATATTTAATATTTATTTCTGTATTCCATTTTGGGTGAAAAAAAAGCTTTTCCTATAATCGGTCACGATTTATTGTAAAAGTTAAGCTTTTTTAACTTCAATGATCACTGCTCCGCTCTCTCAATGTGGTGCTGCTGTTTGACAACGCCTGAATTCTACTTAGTGGCACAAGGTGATAGCGGAGCAGCGAACCGCATAGGATTCACCGCTGGCTGCTTCCCCACCCTTCCCTGTGCAGTTTGCATAGGGACACTAGGTCAATCCACTGCCCTCGCTGCGGACACCACGCTTGGTCTGATTGCATCTTTACAGTTTACCAAAGAATATCAGAATCAAGCCAGCAAAGCTACTCCAACATGCAGCCCCTTTCAGCATTGCAAGCTTTGCCTGAAGCTTGCCTTCAGTACTTTTCACGCAAATTGGCGTGAAAATTACTGTCAGACTCCAATCCTCAAGGATCAATGTCTTGCAACTTTAAGGTGGGCCTTAATTTTAACATACCTGAACCACACAAAAATCGCTTATTGGTAAAAATTGATTGCATGCTGAGGAGGTAATCCAGCCATTTGATTTGGGTTTACTAAACCAACACATATCTAAAAGTTGCAGGACACAGATCCTCGAGGACTCAAGTTTGACACCCCTGCTCTCTGATATATGTTAGCAGCACCCTGTAATGTAAAGACTATACCATCCCTGTTCATTACTGTTGTAAAACAAAAGGTCTGCACACATCTTAAGTGTAGAGAAGAAAAGGAATGGGTAGCCGGATGCATGGCTCTAAATAAAAAATTTGGATAACCAGCGCACAGTCATATATTTAACTGAATTTAACTAATTTTGAACTCCATAAATATAATTAAAATAAATGAAAAGTGCTCTAAAATGCACTTAATTTCATGAGTATGTTGCAGATTAATCAGCTCCTCTTGGACAAGAACTTCCCTCCGCCTTAGAGCAGCAGGACGCTGCAAAATCCTTGTTGGTCTTTGAGCCTCTGTACATTGAAGCAACTAGCAAGAAAGTCGGGCCCTGATTGGATAACAATAAAAAATCTGTCACCTCTAGTGACCCCTATGGGGTCTATGAAGCAGGCATGTCGTGAAACTGCTCTTCATGCTTCCTGTCGCTGACGAGCCTTATAGAGAGATGCTGATTCAATTTTCCAGCTTCTTTTGGTACCGCTCATCACTAGCAAACGTACCACAAGCTGGTTCAGTCGCCGTAGTGTTGCTGTTTGGTTTACAAGCACACTTGCCCAATAAAAAAACAATGTGTTAATGCTGATACACTAGACCGAACCACCCAGATGAGCTGACTAAACTAACCAAAACCACAGGCTGATCAATTCCAAGCCAAGGCAGTAATTCATGAAAAAGGAATTGATTGTGAAGAAAGGAAATAATTTTAAGAAGCCTTATATTTCTTATTGAAATACAATTTTTAATAGAGGTTTTTTATTATTTATTAGGACCTGGAACTCTTTCCTGATGGAGATCTCACGCTGATAGGGGATAGAGGAGCAACACTCAGTGGAGGACAGAAAGCTCGCATTAACCTGGCAAGGTTTGTGCACAGTCCCAGTTTCCACTACATCATGCAGCTTGCCACTTAAATCAAAGAATCCTTTTAAATTTTTCACGTTGCCTCGCCCGTTATCTTTTTTTTAATTCGTCATTTAATGCAATTGTGTCCCACAGTCACACAATTGCATTATATTTTAATGTTAGATAAGGTTAGTTATAACAGAGGCTGTAAGATTACAGTTAAATCTATTTCCCATCAAATATATCCATAATAACACATGAAATCCACACTTTATCATGAAAGAGTTTCAAATATTACATATTTTTATCTATTTTTAATAATTGCATAATTTAAGCTTGATTATTTTTTTCAGGGCTGTTTATCAGGATGCAGACATTTATCTCCTAGATGATCCTTTAAGCGCTGTAGATGCAGAAGTCGGGAAGCATCTTTTTGAACAGTGAGTAGTTTGAATTTATTTTTTCATAAGGCTGATCTTTCAGTATTAACAATCACTTTCAGATGCATGGTATAGCAAAGAGATGCTGGTGCCGTTTCAATCTGACAGCTGGTTTACGTTAAAGACGTGTTACATCAGTGTGTTATGGAACTGTTGCATCAGTGTGTTATGGAACACAGAAAAAAAAAGCCTAGGGTGAATAGATCATAGTTTGTGTTATATATTTGTATCCTGCTGAGGCCTGCCTTGATCCTCCTTTAGGGTGTTTTTTTTTTTCCTCAGCAACTGAAATTCATACATCTTGTCTTATTTCTCAAAGCCTCTCCTAATAAACAATACCCCGGTTGTCTGTGTCGATGAGCAGGTGCATCTGCGGGCTGCTTAAGAACAAATGTCGTGTCCTGGTCACACACCAGCTGCAGTTTCTGAAGGCAGCGGACAGAATTTTGGTTCTCAGGGAGGTATGCAGCCTTTTTTTCTTTCTTTAATGGAGTTTTGTAAAGTATGCTCTTTCATTCTATTAAATGCCCTTGCATTGCTTAGGTTGATTAAAATGGGGGGGTTGTTTGTCTCAGGGGAACATCATAGGCCAGGGAAGCTACAGTGAGCTGCAGAGCTCTGACCTGGATGTGGTTTCTCTGCTGATGAGAGACGTAGAGCAGGAGCGAAGTCCTGGCTTACCAGACTCTGATAAATGCTCTTTACACAGTCAGTGGACAAACTTCTCCCATGGTTCTCACTGTTCTCACAGCAGCCTCTTGCCATCTGACAGTACCTGCTCAGACCAGCTTCCTGTGGGTATATTCTTACAAATCAAAACATTTGAATAATATTTTATATTCAAAAAGTGCGAACATACTTTTTAGCCTCTGATTTACTCTTTTATGTATGCAAAGTGTTACATATGCATTTATCTATATACTTTGCAGGTTGATGCACCTCACAACTTTGCTGAAGAGAGTCGAGCTGAAGGGAACGTTGACAGCCACATTTATCTGAAGTACTTCACTGCTGGCTGTAATTCACTGGTCTTAATTTTCATTATCCTGATAAGCATTATAGCAGAGGTATGCATCACTGCGCTGATTCAAAATTAGCCTTGAATCCAAAGTTTTATTCAAACAGATGGGAAATCTGATCAGTGTGTCCTGCCTCCTGCTGCACAAGGATTTGATAAGCAGGTTTTGTTTTTTTTTGCAAGCAACTGGAATATGTAAATAGTGTGAGCAATTTTGTAAAAAAGAATCTTAATGAAACATTTGTTTTTCCAGAATGTATTCATTTTAAACACGTGTCCTCGAATGAATCAATCCCTACAATCATTGGCTTGTCCAACCATTAGTTGTTCTTCAAACCATGAATGTTCAAAGCTATAGTTTCTTTTGTCCATAAATCCATCCATCCATGTGTCCCTCCTTTAAACCTTGCAAGCCCCCGCCCACGTATGCATCATTTAAATTATCCTTCCATAAGTCCTATCCTTGCGTCCATCCCTTCCTCAGTCTACCTGTTATATACTTTTTTTAAACTGTATATTTTCATATTTTTTATATATTTAACTATTATATATTCTAGAGACTCTAAGTCTGAAAGTGCCTGGAGTGTAGCAATAAAACATGACGTAAATTTGGATATTGGTCTATATGCTTAAAGAATTTGGTCCTCAGACAATTCAAGATTAAGTAAGTAAATGTTTTAATTTGAGAAAAATCATTTGTGGGCAAGACAAGCAGATTAATTCAGGTCAGTTTGTTTATATAGTGGGAATTCATGTCATCTCAATCTGTTACACCAAGCATGCATGCAGTGACTGTGGCGAGGAAAAACGATTTTAAGAGGATGAAACCTTAAGCTGAACCAGGCTTAGCGAGACAAGCTTTCTGCCTAGGCAGACAAGAGCTCAAGAAGACAGAAGCAGACATTCAAAATGACTATAAGAACCACTTCTACACCATCTACATCTGCCAGGCCAGATGTTGCTGCTATGACTAGAAAAAGCATGGAGAACATAATGTTAGAATTTTAGCTTTCAAATAATGCAGAATTGCATATAGAAGTAGGAAGGAAGCAGAATGATGAAAAGTGGTCTCTTTGTCCTCCTGCAGCCTAAGCCTATAGCAGCATAACTATAGAGTGTCATTGGAAAGGGTTCTCTCAAGCGTACTGCAGTATTTCTGGCCGTTATGCTCAAAAAAGTCACAATTACACTGAAAATCCGGTCAATGCACTTATTTTTTATGGACCCTTTGATTAAACTGGACTTCCTCCCCAGCATATTTCAGCACAGGCATTGGTTAAGCTGAAACTTCTAGAATTACCATGGGATAATGCAGATACCTTTACTTTTAATGAGCTTAAAGGCTGCAGAAACTGTTTTTAAACACATTTACCTCCTTATTTGCAAACTTGAGGGAAGCTGTAAACCCCGCATTATTAGCCGTAATTGGCTCAATTTTTTTTTTGTTCAGATCCCTCTAGGAACTTCTTTTTTTTCCTTCTTAAGTTACTTTTTTTTTTTTTTTTTGGAGACTTTGGTGAAAACATGAAAGCACCAATTGCTCTGAGTTTATAATCTTCAGCGAGTGAGTCGTTAAGGATATTTTGCATATTTTTTTCTTGAATCGGTTGCACCAAACAAATCCTCCCCTCATTCAGTTCTTACACAAACTCATCCACTGTGAGCACCTCTGTTAACTGTCTTTAAGATTACTTTAATAACTTAAGATTGACTGTGTGTTGTTTTAGTTCAGGTTTAAACATCCATATTGAACACTAGGACTTTCAATAATCCCATCTTTAGTTTTAAAGGTATTTTGAATATTTTTAATCACTTCTTGCCAATGTTAATTTTCTTCTCTCTTATGGCTGAATTATCAAAAATATAAATTATGTGATTACATCTAGACATCTTCTGCAGAGCTTTAGGTCAGCTGTAGAATTGGCTCAGCAGTGTGCTCAGTTCACACTGAACTGAGCACAATAGCTCTTAAAAAATGGTGGGAACGCTTTAAGGAAGAGCCTGATTACTTAAAAATCTGCCATTATACTTTTAGTATTTCTATGAACCACAAGTAAACCTTCAGATTGAGAACAAAGTACTCTGTTAGGAACATAAGGAACAATCAGGTCTCTTGTATAAGATAAATCTTGATTATTTGGGGCTTTATACACAATTTTATTTGGGATTTAAGGGAGCAAATGAAGGGAACCAATACTATTCCCAGAACTCTTTTTACTATATTTTGTAGAATTCCTAATGGTAAAGATTTAAAATGGTCCAGACTTGAAACAACAAATACATGGACTAGTTTCCCAGCATCTCTCCAGGATGGTATTTCAAAATTTTCCAATATCTTAAAAATGAAAGAGGGACATTCTTAGATGATGATCTCAGACCAAAAACAATGTTTATTGACTTTTTTGTTGGAGGCCAATTTTTATGCCATTTAGAAGATGTAACATGTTGGTCTTTGTCTTTTCAGGTTGCATATATCCTGCAGGACTGGTGGCTGGTTTACTGGTGAGCCCTACATGTTAAATGAATTTACTCTAAGTGTAGTTAATTCTGTTTTCTGCCACATACCGGTACATGTTGATTTTGTCTCCTCCGCCAGGGCAAGATCAGAAGTTTCAAATACTACAGCCCCTGTAGTCAGCATAAAAAATGGCATTAATGCCTCTCCCACAGATGGAGACATGGATCTCACCTTTTACCTCGGCGTTTATTCAGGTAAACCTCGCTGTTTGCAATCCGTATGCATCACTGTCTGATGCGCCCATTTGACATAGTCCTGTTGTTCTCGCTGCAGGTCTCACAGCAGCTGCTGTGGTCTTTGGTTTTATCCGGAGTTTACTGATCTTTCACGGTTTGGTGAAATCAGCCCAGATTCTGCACAACAAGATGTTCAATGCTGTCCTCCGTACTCATGTTCACTTCTTTGACACTAATCCCATTGGTTAGTGATTCTATTGCTGGGTTTGAATAGAAGAACCAAAATATTCACATTCTACATGTTTAAAAATAATCACCTTTGTTTTAGGAAGAGTTCTCAACAGATTTTCTAAAGACATCGGCCAAATGGACTCCATGCTGCCTATAACATTTGTGGACTTCTACCAGGTGATAATTTCATACTGGATTCTTCTATCGTGCGATTATGTCAGAATATATCATACCAGATATAGTATGAATAACTATAGATCAGGGGTCACCAACGCGGTGCCTGCGGGCACCAAGAGGCCCTCAAGGACCACCTGGGGGGCCCTCTCCGTCTTCTGAAAACGGAACAACTCACTCAGTGGGTTAAGTTTAATTTTAAGCTTTTTAAGTTTAAGCTTTTTAATTATTTCATCATGTTAACTATTTCATCATATTTCAGTGGTTTCAAAATGACAATATTAAAAAGAAAATTAGAAATGAATAAAAGAATAAAATAAGAATAAAATGAGTTTCTTATGGATGAGATTGACTGTAGGTGACCATGAAGTAGCCCTCAGCCTTAAAAAGGTTGGTGACCCCTGCTATAGATTATTGTACATAAAGTCTAACTTACCATTACATTTGAAGGATAAGACATTCTATAACTCCCACCAAATTAATTCCTTTATAGATTTAAATTTACAATATCAGAATAAAATGTTAATCAATAATCGTTAGATTTATTTTTATTGCACAAAAAAAATATCAGCATAATCTTTATTTTCTTATCACTTACACTCTAGTTTACTTCTTAATGCTTTAGATAAAAGACAAACCCTTAAAACCAAAATACCAACACTTTGCTAAAAAAAAAACTGCAACTAATGTGAGGGAAAAAAAAAAAAAAATCTTACATTGACAATATTATTTGAGCTGATTCAAACTCCTCACCCAAAAAAAGGTTTTGTACTCTTATTAGTTTAAAGAAATTGCTTTCAGCCCAGAACAAAAAAAAGAAAGAAAAATAACCTTAATTTGAAGGATGGGTTTGGAGAGGGAAAAACTTAAACTAACTTAAACACTCGGTATCAAACGTGTATATACACCATTAGGTTTTCTATACTTTCTTTTAGAACCAACAATAACTAAAAAAAATATCAACATGCAATAAATAAGAAAAAGGAAAAAACTAGTAAAATAAAACATGAAATAACACAAGTATAGAAAAAAAAGATGGAGGTCACATGGTTGCGAAACAGTTGCTGTTTATTAAAGTTCACATTTACCTTTTGAAAGAACGAATTTTCTCAGATTTTAAAAAGGACATGCTTTCTCTAACCCACTGTGTGCTAGAAGGGGCTGTTATGGATTTCAAGTTAAGGAGGAAATGACGCTTAGCAATTACAAATGTGAAAGCTTTTGTTTCAAGTTCTTTGCTAGAAAATATGGGTGCATTGTTCTGGAAAGCAAGAGATGCAAATGTGGGGTGACATGAGTGATTGCTGAAGAGTCGACCACAAAATGCAAGCGAAAATCATCCAGGATGAGCATCTCTCATCAGTTGATGACTGGATGCAATTCAGTTGTTTTTCTTAACCGATTGGCTGCGTTCTCTGAAGTACAGATTCGTTGACAGATTACGCCATAGTGCGGCGCCGGGGCCTGTTTAGATTGGAAGCCCCCTCATTATGCGGGGAACGATTGCAGCCTTCTTTTTCCCCTGTTTTGAAGGATACCTTATGTAGCCTTGTGAGTCCAAGCAAGCTGGCTGCTCTGTGCTCAGAGGAAAAAGGTAAAGTGCTGTTTAATATAATACAAGTATCTGAATAGTTCCATCTGAAATGAATGAGAATAGTTGCTTTAGATGGTTATTGAGTCAGATCTGTGGCGGATAATGTTTGGTTTATTGATAGCTTTTATCTGTCCCTGTGTAAATGGGTTTGACTGACATTTAAGGCCAGATTATAATATCTTTGCAGTGTCGACTATAAATATATTTGCGACGACAACGGTGCTGCTGCTAAAAATCCTCGAAAATAAAATTAGCCACAGAACAATTGTGACAAGTTTGGCATCCATTCTTTGGCTGGTTTGTGTATCAACCGTTACAGTTGCCGGAAAAAGCTGGACCTGTTTGAATCCACAGCCAAAATTTTATTGGTTTTCTTATTTTCACGGGTCCTTGGAGGATGCAGCCTCTGGAATCGAACACACCCAATGTTTCTTTAAAGTTGCTCGAGATGACATGTGCTGTGAATTGCTGTATGAATAAACAGAATTGAAACATGTCAATAGATTTTGTAAGGAGCTTGTAAATCATATTCAATTCCCAGTGGTAACATTGAAGATTCGGCTGTGGGTAGCTGGATGAAACACTCTGGATGAGCACAGGAAAGAGACTAAAGTGCATGAAAAGCTAAACAAGCAGGGGATATTTATTGCTGCGTTGATGCTTGTTTCGTGCTTCAGGGGCAGCCCGTTTCCATGCAGAGTCTGTGGTGGGTGCACATCAAGGGACGTTGCGAGGTCCTGTGGTGCATTGCACAGCGCATCTGAAGTTTTAAGCTTCCACATCAGACGCACATGTTTGAAAATCTGAACTTGCTTCACATGGATCGTCAACCAGTCAGAAGTTGATTTGGGAGCTGGCATTGAGAAAGTCGCTGCATTGAAACCATTATCTCTGCTACTGCAGAGCTGCCAGCATAAAACCATATAAAAATATATATATAATATAAGGTCTTACACACAACTAGGTAAACATATAAAAACAGGATTATGTATTTTTCCCTGTGCAAATGGAAGTAAGAGTGCGCTGATTCCCTACTAAAATGTTTTGTTACTGGACTTTGGCAAAACAGTTTATAAAAGCCTCCACTGGCATTGTTTCCCTTGCTTCCTGAAAGAGTCCATTCCAGTCGATTAACAGAACCCTTATCAGTCTAAACTCCACTCCATGTTCCCCTGGTTCCCCACAATGTTTTAATGCTTCTCTAAGCAAAAACAAGCAAAAATATCAAATGGCAGCTGGAAAATTAACAAGGTAGCGCATGTTCCTCTGACATCTTATTGTCTACATTTTGCTAAAAACCTTTTAAATGGGCTTTTTTTTTTAAATATAAATAAGCCTTTTATCCTGTTAAGTGACTGCATAGAAATCTACTTAACTCTGCTTTACCACTGCAGAATTCTGACTTTTTTCCCATACTAAACTGAAATAAAATTTAAAAATCAGTTAACTTTTTTTTTTTAAACTGGCCCTAATCCTCTTCCGTACCACGGGACATACAGTACATGAGGCAAAGTGTATTTTGTGCAAGAAGTCATTCAAGCTCGGAAC